TTTGTCTTTATCTGAATGTAGAAAGTAATGGGGTGAGGAGTGTTACAAATCACTCAGAATAAAACTTTCAAAGGAGAAATCTATGTAGCATTCTTCTGGGAGGAAAAACTCCGTGTATTTTTTTTTCTGCGTAGTGTAACGCAGAGCTGGAGGGGTAGAGGAAGATCTGGCTGTTTGATAGAGTTGGTATTCACCAAGTGTAAATGTGTAGAAGTCACCTGTGTTAAGGTTTTCTTCTGTGTTTTTTAGTGGTCCAGATCAAGAGGAGTTATGTTCTCAGAAATGAAGTTGAGGTACCTAGTGTTCCTGAGAGTTAAAAAAATAAATACAGTCTGTTTTACAACTGAACAAGTTTATTTCCAAGTTCTGCTTCAAATCCACATCTACAAAAGATAACAATCAGTTCTAGTGTTTTGCATTTGTATTTTGAGAGTTTTCTAACATAACAGTTTAGATTTTAAATGCACAATAAACTCTGAAGGGAATATAGTTAGTTGGGGGAGGATGTACTAGTAGTAGATTTGAGAGATCAGAACATTTGGAGGGCACATAGTACAGTTAAGAATAATTAGATAGTTAAAACCCTCTCCAAGCACAGTCTTAATGTTCTGCAATGTCACATAGGCTCAGAAAGCTGTGCATGTGTGAAGTACTGCATGTTCTCATACATCAATATGTTCAGTAGCCTGTTCTGTAAAAGTTTGGGGAGGGGAAAAAAAAGCCCTACATGAGGTAGGTGTTTAATGTTGCCATGAACTTGAAAAGTGTAGTTTGATGCTTTTTCTAGAGCACTTCCTTCCACTTTCTTCAAAATAACTTCATTACCACACAGGGAGGATTGCTTTATTGGAAGTTCAAATTCTTGATAGTTTGTCTATCCATACTTGTTATAAAGTTTTGGTGAGGTAAATTGGATTTCTGGAGCAGTAATGCTTATACTGGACCACCTCCAAGTTGCTGGTGATTCTTCCATAGTTTCTCTGAAACCCAGTCTTGGTTAGTAAACCAAAAGAATCTGTGCAATGCCAGCTGTGAGTTTGTCTTTCATCATAGTTTGTCTTCTCATTACTGTACCAGCATATAGATTTTCTTGTAGAATCACTTGGGAGTGAGAACAGCAGCTCCACGGTATTAAATTATGTTCATGTCCAGCTCTGTCACAGAATCTTATAGCTCACTTGTGCTTCTAGTTGCATTTTGGGGCTATGCTGGAAGCTTTTGTAGCCTTACATCTCCCAGAATAATTGGCAGATTCCTTTTTCCTTTCAATAAAGTAGTGCCTATTTTTACAAGAATTGCATACTGCCCTTGTTCTCCAATGCTTTCAAGAGTCTTTGTGGAATGCTTCCCCACGATAATTTTCCTGTTAAACTTGAGAATAGAAAATGGGAATGTGCTTGCACTTTATTTTATTCTTTTGCCTTGGGCTTAATGTAAACTCGTCTTGGTGATTATTATGTGTGTTTTTTTCCATTTGTAGTGCATAGTGCTGTGGTAAACAGTCTTTCCTTTCACCCTTCTGGAAACTATCTGGTTACTGCTTCCAATGATTCAACTCTTAAAATTCTGGACTTGCTAGAAGGAAGACTTCTGTATACTCTTCATGGTCACCAGGTGAGATGAAGCCTTTTCTACAGCAACAGACAAATAACAAACTGGGCAAACTTGTGCTTGAGCTTTTCCTTCTTTCTGGCCAAAAATATTTTGAAAACTTCCTTGCATAAAACACTAATAGTCTTTAAGATAATGACTTCTTTTGAAGAGAAGACCTATGGGGAAGGAAGAAGGTGAGGCAGGAATGGAGAGGATGAGAAAGGAAGGCAGAAAGGGAGCTCCAGTATTGAGGATGCAAATCTGTGTCCTAAGGAGCACAGTCAGAGCTGAGTCTGTTGTGCACGTTTTGTCCTGCAGCTCTGACTGTCTCCTTCTCTAGAGTGGTGCAGATAACACTTGCCCCCCTGATACAGGTGTTGTGAAGATAAATGCTGTTCATCTGACAGGAGACTTAAGGGCAGTAATGGTGCAATGGAGGAAATAAATGTTGGGACCTGATTTGGAAACATATTTACATTTTGTTAATTGACTAAATTAAATAATTGAAGGTGATAAATGCTGCTGGTTGGTTAAGTTTAACTGATTTGCCTCTTAGTATTATGCTTCTGGATGTGTTGCTTGTAAGGTTAATTGTATAAATGCTTGGAGCTCTCTTTAAATGCTAAATGAAAATAGACCAGTTTCATTGTTCATACTGAGTGGGGCTCAGGGGCATGAAGAAGCAGACCTTTCCACAGAGACAAAGAGAACAGAAATTCTTAACCCATTTGTGTGTCTGTTAAAATGGGAGCTGAGTCTTAAAGCATCAAAACTAGCTGGGGAAAAATCTTAGCCTGAAGTTGTTGGGGTTGGTGGAGATGGTTCTGGTCAACAGTGGTGGCTGTGCAAACTGCAAAACTGATAATTCTATCTTCTTCTGGCTTTATGTTTAGTGACTACCTTGTCTGATGTCTAAAAAGATAAGTTTTCTTCTGTCATTTCTCTTATCTTTTTTTGTAATATTAATGGTAAAATGGAACAGCCTCATACTTAAAGCTCTACTTCATGGGAAGATGTGGTTAAAACTGACCAAACAGTTCAAATACAGAAAAGAATGGGGGAAGGAAAATTAAGTGCTGGTATTGGGGAAGTGTGGAGGGACAGTAAATCTTTGCATCTCTCATTCTTGCCTCAGAAAAGGGATGT